CTCTTTCAATCTCTTCTTTATCTGCATTACCTTCAAGCCTTTCATCTAATAGGCTAAGCACATCGCCTCCTTCGACAACAACGCTTATAGCCATATTTGGGAAGTACCTTAATTTTCCATTTATTTCTGTTTGCTCTGAGTTCCTCCTCCCCGATACGAGCTCGAAAAGCATCATTCCAAAGCTGTAGACATCTGTTTTGGGTGTTATTGCCACTCCAGTGATCCACTCCGGTGCGAGATAGCCTCTTGTCCCTCTCATGGTTGTCAGTACCCGGCTGAAGTCCCTCCCGATGAGTTTTGATAACCCGAAATCTGCCACTTTGGGACAAAATACTGCATCTAAAAGAACATTTTCAGGCTTGATATCGCAGTGTATGATACAGTCTCTGCATTTCTCATGCAGATAAACTAACCCTCTTGCTGTTCCTAGTGCAATTTGGTACCTTGTTTTCCAATCCAAAACGTTCGAATTGTTTTGATTGAAAAGGTGAGAAGCTAAAGAGCCGTTCGACATGTAATCATAGACCAACAACTTTTTAATACCTTCAGAGCAGAACCCTCGAAGTCGAATGAGATTAACATGTTGGATTGTCCCGATTGTGCTTACTTCTGCTCGGAATTGCTTCTCTCCTTGGCCAACACTTTCAAGTTTCTTCACTGCGATCATAGTAGAGTTGGGCAACATCCCCTTAAAGACTGAACCAAAGCCTCCTCCACCCAATTTCTCTGAGAAGTTCTTTGTCGCATTCTGCAGATCTTTGTAACTAAAAGCCACCAAGGATCCCTCCATCATTTTCTTTGCTTTAACTATCTTCTTTCTCCTTGACGTAAACAAATGAATAAGGACTAGTAAAATTACCGACACAATAGTGGAGCACACTGCAACGCCAATAATCAGTCTCTTCTTATGTTTAGGACTCTTGAACTCAGAAGCATCTAGCCGAATATAGAGTGTTCTTCCATCTTTGTTGCCCGGTGTGAGTTGTTGAAGATCTAAGAGATCTCCCGTCCAAATGGAACAACCGTTTCCATTGAAGGAATAAGCCGTGCAAGAGCAGTTATTTAAGCAGGTTGACACGCACGCCGCGATATTCGCCACTTTAACGAACTGTTTATTCCCCGGAGACGACATGCTCCGCATTTCAAGGAACCGGTCTCTCTTTTGATTGGTATGATTGTTGTTTGCACACTGAAGTTTGGTTTTCCTGACGCACCCGGTAGAATAGTCCTCCATATCCCAATACCTCGGAACCTTCGGCTCGAACCCCCTCAGACAACTACAATATTTCACGGAGTTTTCATCGCAGCTGCCGTATGCCCCACAAGAAGCAAAGACTTGACATGGTTTAGTTGGCTGAGACGAATAAAAACGCCATTCCTTGTTAGGCATAAGTATATACTCTCTCATCTGCCCTGAAATATCCATAACAAATCTAGATATTTCATAGGCAGAGAAAGAAATGTTAAAAATTAAATAGCTCTCGTTGTCATTCGAAACATAGGTGAAGTTGAAGAAACGATTGTACTTCATCTGCGGGGTTAAGCGGAAAGCGCCAAGCTTTTCATCCCAAGGTCCACTGGTCCAAACCACCTTCGATCTATTCCTTACGATGGCGAAAGAGCTGTCACTTGTGAGCAGCTCGTAAGTAAAAAGGCCCGGGGCAGGATCCTCTGGACTCTTCCATGAAGTGAGAAGCGTCTTTTTTCGGGTCTTTTTGTCGTACCCGATTTTACTTCCCTGTAACCATGTGTCAGTCGGATGATCAAAACTTTCCCACAATGATTGTGAAGCATTAGATCCATCTCTTAGGACAAGGTTTCCATTGTCCAAAAGAACTGCTTCTATTGAAGGTGAACTACCGGAGCTCACATTCGTGGACCAAACCGGGAGTTTGGACTCACCGAAGAGAACTAAATTGCCGTCTGAGATTCTTACTTCCGAAGAAAACCTATCTGCAACGGACCTTTCTCTATTTGCCACCCAAACTATGGCCCGTGAAGGATCCATCTTGTACCACATGCCTAAGTAGTAGTTCGAAGAGTTACCCGGCGTACAGAATCCCAGCACGAAGATTCCATTCGCGGAGACAATGGTTTCGTCTCCGGAGAGAGATTGGTTTGAAGAAATGGAATCAGCTCCAAGGGATGCACAATTGTTCATAAATAGGAATAGAAAGAGAAAAGAAATTGGAATGGACATTGGGTTGGTCATTTTATGCTTGACTACTGCAAAGTTTTTGCAAATGGACTTGAAAAGCTTCAGACACAAGGATTTTTTGTAGTTACTAATTTTGAATAATCTGTTGAGCTGTTTTGCCAAGGAATTAAGCTGTTTAGATGCTAAGAAAATTTCATACCAGTTTTAATTGAGGATAAGATGGCATTTTAATGTCTGACAATGCTATGATAACCCTAAACTTACGTTCACTTGAATTTTCTACGCAAGGTCAAGTCTACCAAATTAGGTGTGCTATAAATCACTGTCTTAAAGACTTTCTTCTTTTGGAGAAATCTCTTTCAACCATATAAATATCAAGATATTTTAATCTGCCTTCAATAATGTCCCATGCAATATTTCTGTTAATTTAATTTATGTGGTTCAAGTTGAAAGTAGGATAGCCCGAAGTTTAAGTTATTTACCATGCAAGTCAATATAATGCGATTACGTTTTAATTGAAACAAGATTGAAAGAGACTCCATGCGTAGTAGAATGGTCTAAGTGTAAGTCAAATCTAATGAGTCAAACAGACCTTTTCCTTCTCCGGTTCTTTTTGGTCTTTTTTTCAATAGTGCCTCCCTATAATAATTAGAATATAGTTTTTTAATAATTAGATTTAATCAAATTAAAAAATCTAATTAAAAAATTATGTAGAATATATAGTTTTTTATACATATTTAATGGCTGAAAACAGAGCTTTTTTATTAGTTCATTTTTCCAAGAACTACCCCTAGAATCCTGATTCTTTTTCTTTTTTTTCTTTTTTGGAGATTTGTATAATAGGGCTTGATAAAATGACTGCCAGTAAATCTCTCATTTTTTTATTGTCAGATCTATATTAAAACCTATTCATTCTACAGATTTTGTTACTTTAATGTGATTTGGTAACATCGATGGTCAGAAGAAAACAGACACTATCAGTATAAGACCCTACCATAAAAGAACTATTATTTTTTATTAAAATTTTAATATTGAAATAGAAGGTGGCAATACCAAAAGGTCTTTCAAGTATCAAGGGTTATTGAAATTCTAGGTCCGGAATTATGAGCATTGTGTCAATTTGTGTGACGACCCTTCTAGGTGGTCGTCATTGTAGCTCAAATTAACTTGTACTTGTTGAAATTTCTTAAAATTTATGAAACATTTTTTTTTTTTGTTTAAAATTCTTATAGTAGACATAAGTTACGAATTGCTTTCTTGATTAAAATATTCAAACCTAAACATATATGCTTCTCAAAGCATATAGATATATCTATATGTATATACTTAATCCTTAAGTCCTGCTTACTTACATTCATAATCCACAAAATCATTTAACATATGGTTTCAGAATCATAATTAGTAAAACTATTTATAATGTAAAACTGATTACGAAAATAATTGCGAGCAGTATTCATTCTCCGATCTCCACATCGTTCGTCCATTCGCCATCAGTCCATCAAGTATTAGGTATAGGTTGCTTACCTACAGTATAAATATTCTATGATGAGCTTTCACTCAGCAAGTATGAACTATCTCTTGCAAAATAACTGTAAGTTCACATGAATAAATATGCATGAGCCAATTATGCTGAATTATGATCATGTCTTATTAAATTCTTATTATCTAATCTTATCTTACTTACTTATGCTCGTACCATGTGCGCGCAATCATTGGGACGTGGGGGTTTGCAAGGTCTCCAACGGCACCGTGATTTAACCTAGTATATACTTCTTTTTCTTTTCTATCTCCCTTGTAGAATCTAAGTTACCTCCCACTTAGAGGCTAGTACGGCACTCAATTGAGTTTGTTCTTATAAGTTCTACTTTACTATTTAAGGTGTATGCAATATGGCATGACATCGCATAAAGCATAAACATGCATATATAACATGTGTAAATTTTTCTTTAAAATCTATTCATACTATAGGCGAGGTTCCTACTTATCTGATTTACAGAGTTGAAATCCATTATTCGCCAAACAACCTATTCTCTTACTTGCTTACTTCTAAAAATGAACACCAATTAAGAGTGTGAGATTAATTATCGTTTCCTATTCTATTTTAGCAGCTTATGAAGGAAATCAAATCCTTTACTTTAGTCATGTATTCCTTTCCTTAATTACCCTTTACATACATATGTCTAGATTGAAATCAATTATCCAATCTAATAACTTATTCTCCATAAATTTTATTGGACTTGTTCTATCACTAAGGCCCAATTTGGCCTAGTGACTTAGTAACGGCGTTCTAACTCTTAGACCGTTGAAATTTAGACTTAAGCGGGGTCTCTTGAATTAATGCAGGCGTTGAACCCATATCTAATCTTCATAATTCTAAGGATCTAACCCATTTGGGTTGTAAGTTTCCGTTCAAATGTTTTTGCTCAAAAACTGTTAAGGTTTCAAAAGAAACTATCATTCTTCTTGAAAACTTTCTTCATGAATTTTTCCATTAAAATGAGGTCTAAAACTATAGTATTTTGCTAAAATCACATCTCGGGTTCTTTGATAACTTTTGTTAAAAAAAAAAACAAAATTGTTTTAGTTTTGTTCGGTTAAAACTATCTAGTTTCAAAAATCTACATTTTACTATATCTTAGAGTCATATTTTGAAAATCTATTCTTTACGGTAAATTCTTCATCTCGTAGGGATCTAAAATTATCATTTTCAGAGAAAGCTGATATTCAGCCTCTAAAGGACCCGTTTGGCTGCTAGTTTTTTTTCTTTTTTTTTTTTGAAGCTGTTTTGGACAGCATTGAGGCCTTTTTGAAAATGGCTTAAAACTTTCATTTAGAATTAAAACTGGATTTTGTAACAGTCATAGAAAAACGTTCAAAATATCAAGAACTATAAGTTTAAACTTAGAATAACTGAAAAATCACGCTCTAGGATCCTCATTTTCGCGTTCAAAGTAAACAGAAAATTTTACCTTTAACCCAAAATAAGCAAACTTAAACCAAGTATAAGCATACTACATAATACTAATCAAACTAACCTCAAAATACACAAAACCAACATAAAACTCACACACCCTTATTACAAACTTATTTTTCTTAAGAACCACAAATTACATCCATGATTTACAACTTAAACTTTGGTAGAAAATTAGAGAAAGGGTTTAGAGTTTATATCCTTGAAGAAGATTCTTGGTTAGGCTGCTCCTAAAACACTTTGATCACCTTCTTCTTCCTCTAAGGTTTGTTAATGACTTGGAATTAGAAGAGTGGAAAAATTTGAGAAGAGCATTTCTAAATCTCAAATTTTGCTAGAAACAAGAAAGAGAAGGTTTAGAGTTTTACCCTTATGCTATGTTTGGTAGGAAGGAAAGAAAATATGATAGAAAGGAAATATGGAAGTGATGGAAAATAGCAATGATGGAAAGGGAATTAATTTTCTTTTATGTTGTTTGGTATGAGAAGATGGAAAGAAAATGAGATTACCTTCACTTCTTTGGTATTGGAAGTTAAATTGGGAGGAAAGAAAAAATCTTACTCGTAAATTACTTTTATACCCTTAAATTTTTTGCTTGGATGTTGATGGAGAAAAGGGTAGTTTAGTAACTTTGCTCACTTTAATGAGTTGTCCCCATTTTCCATCTCATTTTCTGCCCACTTGTGGAAAGAAAAAAAATGGTGGGGCCCACATGTATTATTTTCCACTCTATTTTCTCTTCCTTTCTCTTTTTTCTCCTACCAAACAACCTACATTTTCATTTTCCCTCCCAAAATCCCTCCACCTTCTTCCTTCCTTCTACTTTTCTTTCCTACCAAACATACTCTTAAAGAAAATCCTTAGCTAGATACCTTCTAGAACACCTTAGTCCCTTTCTTCTTCTTGAGATCCTAGACTAGTGCTTTGTGTTTAGAAGGATGAGTGAAAAATTTTGAGAGGGTACAAGAGAGAGGTGTGGCCCGTTGTGGTATAGAGAAAGAGGGGAGAATAGAGCTAAAGTGAGGCCTTGATTAAGATAGTTCTATTTATAGACAATTGGGTAATTATGTTTAACCCCTTACTCAACTTACTTAATTAACTAAATTTTAGTTAAAATTCCTTTAACTATGGCCGGCCAAGTGAAGGAAATGAGAGAAAAAAATTATCATGATTACTCTTCACCTACCCCATTAAATAATATCTCATCCAACCAAATCTTAACCTACTATAGTACATTTGTATCATCTCTTAAGTTCCCTTGAAACAGATAAAAATTATACTGACTGTAAGGAACTAACTTAGCTGACAGGAAGTTTCAGTTTCTTACGGTTCCTTTTCTACTGCTTATTTACAGTTCAATATTAATCCCCGACTACTTCGATGTCACATTAAATTCTTACTCGCGTAATATTTCGAATTGTTTCAAGTCTTGAAATTTATTCTAGACTAAACAAATTCTAAACTTAAATTTTCTGCATTATATTTTGGGAATGACATTATTTCTGAGGGTGTCAACTCCCGAGCTCACATTTTACCTTTCTACTATAAGAACTTTTCTCGTGACTTCAACCTAATTCTAAACTTAAATTTTCTGCATCATATTTTGGGAATGACATTGTTTCTGAGGGTGTCAACTCCCGAGCTCACATTTTACCTTTCTACTATAAGAACTTTTCTCGTGACTTCAACCTAACTGTTTGGCAATTAAGGCTTTTTTTTTTGTTCGTTGTTAACATCGTATTATGCTTGGAGATTCTTAGAATTAAGATTTACAAACTGTATATGTACTGAAAATTCTTCTGCTTTAAATTACGGTGAGAATTTATCAATCGAATTTATTTAATCGTAAAACATGAACTTAGCATAAAATCTGCTACAGAATTTAAGAATATTGATATTAGTTCTATAAATCCTTCCATCACAAAATATAGCATAATAGTTTTTAGAAAAGAAATCCTTGACTTAAATATATAAATTATATTATTTAAATTCTGAGATTTTCTTCATCATTACAATTTGTTCTTCTAAACTTTTAATTTTTCCAAATTAATCTCTAAATTTTTTGTCGTTTACTGTTTTGATTTTTGACACTAAATTGAACGAAGAATTTCTAAAACTTCATAGAGAGAATAACGCCTCAATCCCATAATAACTAAAAATTTTACTAAACCAATTAAAAAAGATGTA